AAAAAAAAAAAAAAAAAAGCTGAACAAATTGAAGCCCAATATCCAGGCGGGAATTGATATAATTGAAAGTGCTCTCAATTTATCTTCAGTCTTCACTATGATAAAAAAAAGAAAAAAGAAAAAAAGAAGATTGCTGCCTTTTTTTTCTCCCTCGATATACATGTGCTTTTATTGAAGCTTAGACCAATCACTCACATATCAAATTATCAGGTTAGGAAAGAAGACAAACATGTAAAACGTACTGTACTGAAAGGTGTAGTCGGAACTCTTGATTTGAGTGTCAGGTGCTTGCTGCATGGAGAGACCTTTCCAGGGGTATGATGCTTTATATTTAAATTTGAAGTGCCAATCTATTATTCCATCATCCTGATCAAATAGTTTCATTAACTTGGCAATGGAGTTAATGCCCTCCACAGGAACGGGTGAAGGCTCCTCTCTTCTGCAGCATCCACGGTACAGGCCCAAATAGATATGGTTATGTTGCCAACTTGTGTGTTGCTAAATCAGCACGACGCCAGGGAATTGCGACCAGCATGCTGCATTTTGCTATCGAGTTGGTCAAATCTAATGGTAGATAATTTGTGTAACTTCCTTTAGAATTTTCTGAACTGGTGAAGTATAATGTGGATTTGGTTAAAAATTTCTCTTCTATCAAATCCTCGTGTCACAGGTATAGAACATGCTTATGTGCATGTGCATAGAAACAACACTCCTGCACAGAAACTGTATGAAAAGATGGGATTTGAGGTAATACCATCAGAGTTACTCATTTGTGCCTGTAGTGTTAATGAACATGAAATTCTGACAAAGCCTCTACATTCTCTGTCAGATTGTTGAAGCGGCAAGCTCTCAATTGGTAGAAGAGCAGACTTACCTCCTATGTTGTAAGGCATAAGAATTGTTCTCTAAGCGAATTCCTTGCCCATAAAATAGAAATCATTGTATACAAGCATTGCAGAATACTTTATAGGTAACTATAGCTGGAGGTTGTCATCCCAGAAGCAGAGTCATGTAACCACACTGCTCATTGCGAGCTTGCTTTAGCTATTGTTTGCAAAGTCCACAATTTCAATGATATACAAGGATATCTCGTTCTTGTTGTGTTTCCAAGGTATGTGATCTGGTCTTATGAGGGATGTGTTCTAATAATAGGGATAAGCACTAGCTAATGCATGTTGCAATGAGTTATGTGATGAAGGTAATAGTAATAACCTGATAAAAAAGAACCGCCGCCTCTGCTACTTAATCTAATGCTCAGAACCAAAAAACTGAGACAGAATACTGTAGGATTTCTTCATCTATATATATATAGTGCTTATCTAGAAGCATAAACGAGAGAGAGATGCTATTTTTCACACGAATGAACCATGACTCAGCGCTCAAACCACGGAGAGTGGCGCGGCTTTCAGGCTGCTGGTTCTAGCAACAAGTGGGTTGAGTCCATGTAAATTGTAATATTGCATCAGCTTACAGAATTTTTTTGTTTTTCGGTGGAAAAAGCCTCTGGACTCGATTTATAACAACGGAGAAATATGAAGAAAGAAAGAAGAAGATGAGAGAAATTTAGTTTTGAAGAAGCTAACAAATTTCATTTATTTCTTGAATGAATGCTTTACAAACAGAAAAAGGCTTATACAACCTGAGATTGGCTTCTCCTAGAAAACTCGAATCTCTAACTACCTTAATGAACTAAACTGACAGTTGAAATAGAACTAACAGTCTTCTACCGAACTGCCTATATTACGCTTTATACGAAAAGGGTTCAGTGTCTTTTTTATTGTTTGTCTAGATTCAAAGTATTGGAGATTAGATTCAAAGTATTGGAGATTAGAATAATATAATAATAGTATATTTCTTGCCATAAAGAGTTGCAAGAATAGTTTTATTGTTTATCTAGATTTAGATTTAAAATATTGGGGATTAGAATAATATAATAATAATAATAGTTTAGTTTTCGTTATAAAGAGTTGCAAGAATAGTATAGGAGAGGTGTGGAGTTGTTTTTTGACTAGAATCCATTTGATATTGAATGGATAGTTAGAAAGAAAAAATTTACTTTTAAGTTTTGGTGAGACTACCCTAAAAGTCAAGTCAACTAGGCTTGCGTCGGTCTATCTCTATACGAGGACACTTGGGCTAACTTTTTTTTTATATTGGGTTAGGCTCAAATGTCATATAATATTAGTGCTGGCTTATGCTGAGCATGAGCGAAGCCTATGCCCTCACATAAAACATCTAGCGCTTGGGTTGTTTGCTCTTGCATTTGGTGAAACCTGAGCATCAGGTGGCACTAGGGTTGACTTAACTTGCCCTAGGTAGGGGCCAAGTCTGCGCCTTCATGTGAGGATACGCGGTGCTTGAGTTGTGTATCATTAAGTTGGGTTAGACTTGCATGTCACGTAGTGCTGAAGTTGGCTTGCCCTGTTTTCAAGGTTAAGGTCAAACCCAATGTAGCGCTAGGGCCTCAAATAATAATATTTTTTAGTATTAATACTTTTAATTATAATAAAAATAATAATATTTGTATTCTAAATAATAATTTTTTTGATATTAATACTTTGAACTACAACAAAAAATAAATATTATTACTTTCAATTATAATTAAAATAAATTTTTTTTTTGCAAATAATAATATTAATACCTTTATAATAAAATGATAATATTTATGGCACAAATAATAATAATAATAATTAATTTTATCATTTGAATTAACTATATAATATTTCTTTGATGATAATATCATGTTGGACCTATATGGATCCATCTTCACATTGGACCTAGATGTGTTCATTTTCATGTTGGGCCTGAACTTGTAAATGCCTAACTCCATTAGACGCGTCCCTATGCAGCTTCATGTTGAGTTTGGACGAGACTGCAACTACCTTTATGTTAGATTTGGACGCATTCATGTCTAACTTCATGTTGGGTGGGGATGCAACCGCGTCCAACCCCATCTTGGACTGGATGCATCCACACCCAACCAAACCCACATCGACTTTTTAATATAATAATATGCAATAAATATAATTTTTTTATATATAATTTAAAGTCTTCAAATTAAAAATATTATTATTTGTATTATAATCATTTTTGAAATTTATAAAAATAATAATTTTTTTGATATTAATACTTTGAACTACAACAAAAAATAAATATTATTACTTTCAATTATAATTAAAATAAATTTTTTTTTTGCAAATAATAATATTAATACCTTTATAATAAAATGATAATATTTATGGCACAAATAATAATAATAATAATTAATTTTATCATTTGAATTAACTATATAATATTTCTTTGATGATAATATCATGTTGGACCTATATGGATCCATCTTCACATTGGACCTAGATGTGTTCATTTTCATGTTGGGCCTGAACTTGTAAATGCCTAACTCCATTAGACGCGTCCCTATGCAGCTTCATGTTGAGTTTGGACGAGATTGCAACTACCTTTATGTACCTTTATGTTGGATTTGGACGCATTCATGTCTAACTTTTTAATATAATAATATGCAATAAATATAATTTTTTTATATATAATTTAAAGTCTTCAAATTAAAAATATTATTATTTGTATTATAATCATTTTTGAAATTTATAATAATATAATTATTTATGTAATAAATATTATTTTTATTATAATTTTAAATATTCATATAAAAATAGTGTTATTTATGTAATAAATATTATTATTTTTATTATAATTAATAAATTTTAAAAAAAATTATTATTAATATTAAAAAATATTATTTTTTATATTATAAACTTTTATCGTATTTTTTTAAATAAAAAGTAAATCCACCACGTAACATGGGCGCGGGCATCCAATTAGTAGCTAGCGATAACACTTGTTTTATTATATGGCCCGACTTGTATGTAAGTTGAAGGAGGCTCGTATACTGTCTCACAACATTTCCCTTCCCTTCACCAATTCCTTGACCTCAAGAATAGAAATTGATGTCTGGAAACTGAAGCACTACTTCACTCAGTTGTTCCCGAGTCTCATCTTCTTTAGGCACAGATGTCCACTTAGTTAATCCATGTAATTCATTTTTTCTTGGTGTAAATAATTTTTTTATTTTATACGAATTTAAATAAATAATTTAAATTTATAATATTTTTATAGATATTTTAATATTTAAAATAAAATAAAAACTCACTATTTCAAATGCATTTCAGTTACACGTACATCTAGATAAAGTACAAGTTAAGTTTAGAATTTAAATTGCAAATCTTTGTAATTTTGGACATTCATCCCCATAAAAATCCCACCATTAAGCTAAAGTTTTTTTTAATCTCTTGTTGTCTTGCTAGTCTCAATGTCAAACAATCTTTTTGTATCCTTGAATGATTCAAGTTGTAAGTCAATTTTGTACCTTTCACTTGCATTAAACACCATTCTTTCTAAACGTTAATATAATCCAATTTTAATGTTGACATTAAACTTAAAATTGAGATTATAAAGATAATAATGATTCAAATAATAAGCTATTGCATGTAAGGGTTTGTGAAGTTAAAGTTCCAATCTTTCATCAACAATATTTCATATAGATATATATATATATATATATATAAACAATAAAAATATCATTATAATCTAGAAATATCTCAATTGAAAGTATATCTAAAGACATACATATTAATAGATGACAACATTTAAAATAAAAATTAGTAAGATATATATGTTTTTTTCACTGAACCAAAATTCATTTGTATCCTTTCTCTTGCTTCATTCATTTATTTATATATAAAATTCATAGCGAGTTTCTCATCAAAATCAACTAATCAAAGAACTTTAATTAAAAGATATGTTGTCTTAATACATATAGTAACATCATGCAAAAACTTGTTGTCCAAAACACAATTTTGAATTCGTTTCCCTTCTTCTATTCTTGCAAACCTATATGAACTTCACTGTTTGGAAATAAACATAATCATTAACTGCATTTTATAATCATTCAAACATCCTAGAGTCAAATATACAGTAGCAAACCGAGTGGCAGTAGACGTAATCAAATCTCTTCCTATTGTAAAATGCCTTAATATAAAAATAAGAATAGTTTTTGAATAAATATATGAGGTAATTCTCCTCCTCTTAGCAATATTTACTTGATGAACCTCTAATTTCTTCTCAAAATCTTCTAATATCAATTCAATACAATGAGCAGCAGCACATGGTGTTCAAAACAAACTCTTTTTTTTTTTTCACATGGTGTCCAAAACAAACTCTTTTTTTCTTCCATTAATAATTGTCCTGTTGCCTTATAATTTGAAGCATTATCGGTGACACTTGGACAACATTTTCCTCCACTATCCCCTCCATAATGGCATTTAATATGTCAAATATCTTATTAGCAATCTTTGACATATTAGAAATATCCACCGATGGCAAAAAAAAATTATCCATTTACGACTATTAATCAAAAAGTTACAAATACAATGTTTTTTTTATTTGTTCATTCATCAAACATTATTGAACAACCTGTTTTTTTCCATTCTAGCTTATACTCCTCAAGCAATTTCATTGTTTAATCCACTTCTTGCTTCAAATACTTCTCTATAATATAATGATAAGATGGAGGCTTGAAACCTAATCCATGTTTTGCAACCAATTCAAGTGCCTAAAAAAACTTAGGGTTTTTTACACAATTAAATGAAATTACACTAGTATAGAAAAACCTTACAATTTGTCGATATGTTTCTTCTATAATATCTTTTTTTAGCAATTGATTTAGAGTTGTTTGTGTACTTTCACTCCCACTCGCTGCTCTCTTTCCTTATTCCTTGGAGCTATTTTTTTTATATGTCATAATCATCATTATTTACACTATATTGATGGGCCTTTCTTTTCTTTTTAATTGCTTCTTTTTTCATCAAAACATCCAAAATTATCCGTTTAAGATTTTCTGGTACTTGCTGTATAATTCATTATCCTTACGAGTGCAAGCCAAATGTTGTTTGAAATGAAAAATACTTTCTTCGATAGTTTTTTTACAATAATTACACTGAACTTTTCTAGAATTCTTATTAATATCTATATCATATTGTCATCCCACATCAAACCTATTACCAAAAGAATTTTTTATAGATGCCATAAGTTCAACAATTCAAGAATCAATTCAAATCAATCCAAACATTTTATGATTGTAATTAAATTATTGTTAAAAAAAAGTACCATAATATATGTATTAGAACAATAATGCATCTAGATATTAAACACCCTATCTAAACTATCTAAAAAGAAGTACTATAATGTTGTTTTCAAAAACTAGTTAAAATCAATAACTTGAGTCATAATTAAAAAATTTAAACTATCTATAACCTTATTGCTAGTCCTTCTCCATGCTGTAGATTATGATTGTCCGAATCAATCATTCAAACACACTAATCATATATGTCCCTATTGTTTGATCAAATTCATTCAAACACACTAGAATATTATTATCCAATCAGAAAACCTAAGATAATTGATTTTAGTACACATTACAATAAAATAGCAGCCCATCTTTTATTCCAACTGAAAATAAAAGTACTAGAATTAACTCTTTAATATTGAGAATTTGAGAGATAAGTCATTAAAGGCACACGACGATAAAAAACTGAGACAAGTACTAGAATCATCTTATAGTTCACTAATATTCATTGCATAAAAATAGCATACTAGAAATGCAAAAGGCCATACAAGTTACAATTCCAGTTAACTTGCAACACTCTAAATTACAATAAATCCAAATCCATTCATCACTCATTTATATAGACACACACATGGGATAAACTTTGAATAAAAAATTCAAATGCAAAATCTCAAAGATAGACAAAAATTTTGAATCAAAATATCAAATTCTCAATCTTTAACATTATAAGAGTAAACTGTAAAGATTAAAGCACCAAATTCAAATGAACTTAATTAAGATCAACAAAACTATCTAAACAACAATCATGCAAAGATTAAATCATTAAATCAAATAACTTTAAATCATGAATAAAAAAACAAATATAGGTTCTTCCCTCTGTTCTGAGCAAATCAATATTTATGTGCACTGCAAATCCAATCTAACTAGGAGCCTGCAAATTTAATCAAACTAATATTAAAAACCTTAAAAACTAAGTAAGAAATAATTAATATTATTTTAGTTTATTTGTGTGCACTGTGCACCGAGAAGAAGAAACAGATAGGGAAAAAAACAGTACCCTTAGCCTTAGTAGTTAGCAACAGAGAAGAGAGAACCATTGAATTTTTATCTGGGATTTATATTAGAATTTGCCTAGAATTAGATGAGAGATCCATGACAAATAAATTACTTCAGAATCTAGATCATGAGCTTTTTATAGGAGGTGAAAAAAGATAAATAGAATAACCTACCTGGTAGAGACAGGAGAGATGCCGTTGTTGTTGTATGGATTCTAATTCTCACGATGACTAATAAAAAAAACATCATCAATGATGGGGAAAAAAAATTGTTAGTGATGGTTAATTATTGGACTGTGCAGTCCTAGACGACTGAGAGAAAGAGATTAAAAATTTGAGAATTTAGAAATTTCAATTTCAATTTCTATGTGAAAGTTAAAGTGTTAAACATTAAAATCTGAAAAAGACAAGATTTTGCAATTTTCATTTTTGTTCCATAATAGGCGAAATGCCAATAATAGCAATTGTAATTTTATCTTCTACAGGTAACATTATTAAATCGATGCTGAAATCATAATTTTACACAATTTCACCTGATTTTAACTTTTTTATCTGATTTTAACCATTTTCGTGTTTGATAAACGATTTGCTTTAATTCTTCCTCAAAGCTACAGTTCCTTGCCTGCAGGGTTGCTATTTCTAATACACATAATCCTCCACTAAAAACTCTCTCTCAGTTCTTCCTTTATCTGAAATTTGTTTCATCTTGTGCTGAGCACGCTGAAGTTTTTTGTGACAATTTATCCATCATCTCCTTTCAAGTACAAATCCCCCAACTGTAGCTAAATCAAAAACTCCTTGCAAGGTGGTGGCGGGCCAATGATCCAGTAAAAGCCACAAAACAAGTTAAAACTAAGAGTACCAAAAATGTTCTTAATCCTCTTTTTGGAAGATTTTAAGAAATCAATCTACATAGGAAAGCAGTAAACCCATTGACCGATCATCATTCCTAACTTTTGTGGTTAAAACCCTTTTGTATTTCTAGTTTGCATAACCTTTTTTTCTAGCAAGCTGGATACCATTTTTGCAGGACATAATTTTGCCTGTATATTTAGTTTACTGGATGGAGAACTGTTCGACAACTCATTTAAAAATGAGCCGTGCTAAAAAGGCTACTTGATGACGGCTGCAGGCATCAACCATAGAGGGTCACTGAAAAGAATCGAACAGAATTAATGGTGAAAGGCTACCTTATGCTCAAAAACTAAATTAGAAAGCTTACATAATGTTAATCAGTCCAATCTACTTGTATGCACAGCCCAATAATCATGTCTTCTTTTCTTGGTTAAAGCATCTCAAAAGTCCTATCTTCAGGTATTGATAATGGGCTGAACTCCAAAAGTTTCCCTGGCCGCTACTGATGTTCATTCCACCCTCATAACTATAACACATACTTCAGATAGAAGACACTGAGGAATAACGCAATGCAAATTCTTGCAGTTCAGGAACCATGATATGTTCCAGTACAGGAGACGTCTTCAAGCCAATAATTTGTACATCTGAATTTGAGTGACCATCTAAAAAAACATTTGTAACCTGTAAACAAAGCATTATAACAACTTAGAACTCCAATGTCCAGCAATTGTGATTCCAGGAAAAGAAGAGAGACCTGTCGAGTTAGAGCTTATCAAGAAAAGAAATAAATACTAGTTTTAGTATTGGCATTATAAACAAAGCGAACCTAACGAGAAAAATGTACCTGACTGCATCCAAAAAGTTTAAGCACCTTCAATGATAAACAACTATCCACAATCAAACCCAGAGCCTCATTTGTTAAGTTCCGACACCATGACAAATCCAAACTTAGCAACTTTCTTGAACGTCTAGCAAGAGATAATGCTGTACAGTGGCCAACCTAGGAAAAAGAGTCACAGATGCCACCATCAGTGAGTAGAAGAATCTAATTTCAGATCAAATTCACGTAGGTCCAATACTCCAACATAACCTTCTAAGCCAACAGAAACATAAGTAGCTAATCAATAATAAGAAGATCAGCAGGCAGAACCAGGAGAATTTTGCAAGGACTGCATTCCAGAGACCAACTAAATAGGACCAACTGTTTGATGCAATTTCAAAAGTGAATGGAAGAAACTCCTAAACCACCCCTTGAATGGGGAAAATGTGGATCCCGAAAGGAAGAGAGAGTAAGCAATAAGGTACCTTCTTAACATTATTCAGTGAAAGTTCTTTTAAAAGCTCTCCAGAAGATTCCAAAAATGCAGCAATAGCTTCATCACTGTCACGAGAAGAGGGTAGGAAGAGTTGAGAAATAAAATCAATTTGCCATTGAGAAGTTGCTATTACGAGTGAGGGTCCAATCCAAACAAGTCACAATGATGTGCAAAAAATTAAAAATGGCCAGAGTAGAACAATGATTTGGGTCTGCATGAGAGAAGATGCCCTGACAAGAAAAAACCATTAAGCAATTTGCATAGCCATGACCAATAACAGCCCCAGCTTGGTCTGACCATAAGACATTTTATCTTCACTCGAGTAAAGATTCAAATATATCAAAACATTTGCAACACTTTCCAAAAAATTCCTGTGATCCAGCAATCAAATACAGTAGGGAAGGAAACATTTGACATGATCTTACAATAAAGTATAAGAATCTTATTACCCTTGGAAAGTTCTAGAAACAGTGTCCACTTGCCAATTTCCATATAATTGTGAACAATGGAGGAAAAAATGTGTGAGGCCATGTTTTCTCTTTTCACCACCCTACTTAAGTTGAATCCATAAAATGCTGAAACTCCTTAAAATGCACAAAGATTTATACATGCTCCTTGTCAATAAAATAACAGGTTGGATGATTCAACATGTTCCTTCCATTTATCAGTAGGACATCCTGATACAAACCAAGAATGTGGCTTAATGCGGAACCATGAACAAAAATAATTAGAGCAGAAAAGAAAGAAGCTTTTAGAGAAAGAAGCTAAGAATTGAAAGCAAAGAAAGAGAAGAATGAGGATTGAAAATATGCAACTCTGCAATATTTTTCATTTATCATAAAAAATTCCATTTAACATTTAGAAAAGTAGGATATAAATACTAAAACCCTAACTACAACAAGCAATTAGACTTATGGCCCATTAAATAAAATACCCAACAATAATTAAATCAAACCCAAAAAATAAAGCTTAATTAATATACCTCAACTAAAAATTTATACACTAAAACACAAGCTAAATCGAATCTCTCAATGGTCTAGACTATTCTTCACTGTCTATGATCATACAAGTGCTTAAACAATGTTTCAAGTTCAGTGTCCCCACCATGGTTGTTTGCATAGCAAGATTAAATTATGCAGCAACGCCAATAGATTGCAAATCAAGTCGATATCTCTGGCGTTACAGGGATGAACAATGGTTAGGAGCCCAGATCAGGGAAATCAATTCACACTCCAGGGAAATGGGCAACCAAAGTAAAAACGAAAATGTAGAAGCTGACAGCCAAATAAAACCACTCTGCAGAAATTTCTTCAATTGCATGATGTTTCTATAAACCAAGCATGAGACGTGCTAGCTCTAATAAAAATAATATAACCATTTTAGCACCCAAACCATGCTTATAACATAATGAAAAAGAATTACTGATAAAAGAAAGATGATAAAGAACTTTAAATGTAAAAAAAAAAATCCAAATCATGTACATGCAAGAAAAAACAAACACTTGTAGAAATCACAACACATAAATAGTAATTAAATCACAATGTTATGCAAATACCTGAATGCATTGCGGCAGAGTTTCAAAGTATGGATTTCTCGGCAAGCATTTGCAAGAAATCCCAAAGCAGAATCTGTCAATTTCCTCAAGTTACCAAGATCAAGTGCACATAATTTAGAGCAGGTTTCAGCTATGACTTTCATGGAAGAATCAGTCAATTTCCTGCACCAAATTACATCATCCAAAATAAGAAAAGAACACTTAAAAATCAGGAATCAACGGTGTGATATTCTCCCACAGATAGCAAACAAATTCACTGATGTTGCACATAAAATGTTAAAAGAAGCTTACACACAATCAGTCAAAACAAGCTCCTTTATATTATGGCCGCGTGCAACGATAAATCCCCTCAAAAAATTATCATTAATGGTTTGAATTCCAGACAGGGACAACACTTCTAAATGTTCTAGTTTCTTCAGTGCTGGCAAAATGAGCATGGGTTGAATGCTTTGGCAATCATTAATGTACAGTTCCCGCAAACTTGTTGCCAACGAATCAGCTAAGGTATCAATACTGGCAGAGGTAAGAAGGGAGCACTGACTGAGATTTAAAGATTGTAGGGCAGGGGCAGAAGAAACAAGTGAACTAAGTGCAGCATCTGAGAGTCGGCATGCTCCACTGATGGATAAAGTAGTTAACCTAGGCAAGCTACCTGGTGACCGAGCTAAAGTAGCAAGTAAAGTATAATCTGCCATGCAGCGTCCACATTGGTCAAGTTGTAGAACCTGATTCTCAGAACAATGAAAGTTAGATCATCATCAGTTTCCACTCATTGAAATAGAAAGAGACACCATGTTATATTCAATGTGCAAAGAGAGGATTATTCATACACAGAGATATCCTTTCACAAGATGAGCTGTCTCACAGTACCACAGATCACAGCACTATGGTTGAATGGAAACTTGTTATAAATCCAGTCAAAGTTGAAGTCTACGCAAAAGATATATACAAACCAACAATAGGTTCTAGAATTAAAATGTATATTACAGACCAACAACAGGTTCTAGAACTAAAATGTATATTAGAGACCAACAACAGGTTCTGGAATTAAATCACAAAAAATGTTTGAACTGGAAATCTGATTGAAGCAAGCACAGAATAAAAGAAAACTGACTGCCAATGAAATAAATGGCATACTCATGACTGCCAAGGAGAATATTATATAGATAACCAACTCAACATTTAGTTGGGCTTTACAGCCTCTGTGGCAACAACCAGCAATATGATAGAAGCTCTAATCAATGAGACTTCCATTGAGTCCAATTTAGTCTACATAAACTGGTATGACCAGAACATTTTTGGTTCATCTTGCTTTCATTCTTGACTTCTTCAATCCAGTAAGACTAAAGGTGAACAACCTACCTACAAAGACGTGTAGTAGAACCATAAAAATGTTTAGGAAAATGAGAATAGAAATAAGAGCTTCTAGTTGGTCTGGGGAAATAATAGACTTCTCATTGTTTTCATTCACATGTGCCTCTTTTACAAAACTGAATATTGTAGAGCTTCTATTGAGTTTATGCACTGCACATTAGCTGCCATTCCATAAAATCATTATTGTCAACATAAATGAGGCACACAAAGAAGCATGCACTCATTTGTATATTTGATGTAGGCGGAGCTAAGGATATAAGATTTGCTACAGATCAAAACTCCCAGACACCAAGAACACTATAAATATAAGAAGGCTATCAAAATACTTAATTTAGTTCTCTGTCTCTCTTTGCCAAAAGACTATTACAACCCTTTTATTAAAAAAAAAAAAACCTAGAAAACCTAACAATACTGAATAGAAAAAAAAATAAGGAAAAATATCCCCTTCAAATAGAAAAGCATCATAATAAAGAATAGAGAGATAAAATAGGAATAAATAAAAAATTAAATAAGAAACAAAAACCTTATGCATGGGTTGGAAGGAACTCGTTCTCGAGTTAGAAATTATCCTAAATTATCCTCTATCAAGAATATCATTTTACGTGTGAACCACCTCATTATGGATTCCTAACAACTTCTTATCGACCACCTCATCATGAATCCCTAACACAATACTATTGTGCAAGTAGCTCTATCATGGATTCCTAACACAATATTTTTGTGCGGGTCACCCCATTATGAATCTCACCACCAGAATTTTGAATGACAACAACTAATATGGATGAAAACAACACACTAGTTTCTGGACATCTTTTTCACGAGAAGAAACCTCCTCATCCCTCCTATACAAGCACATCCTATTCTGCAATTGTTGGGCTCTTATACCAATTAACATGGGCATGGCAAAGAATAAGAGGTTTGTTACAAGTGAAAACCCTTAAAGTCCAAGAATACCATAAATACAGGAAGACTCAAGATACTTAATTTTATTCTTTTATGTGTCTCTTAGTCAAAAGACTATTACAAACCTTTATATATAAAAAATTAGAGAACCCTAATAATACTGAATAGAAAAAAATAAATTAGAGAAAAAATTCCCTTCAAATAAAAATAAAAGCTAGAAAAACATCATAATAAAAAATAAAAAAATGAAATAGAAAGAAATAAAATTAACTAAAAAATTCCTAAAAGAAAAGCTCTTACATCAATATTCAAAAAGAACTGTATGATCGGAAGATGTCGGATGCAAACACATGGTCTTGGCCTTGAGGAGGCCAGACATGGATAAAGGGTCACTAAGCCATATCCCAACCTTAATCAAGGTTAATCTATTTGAAGTAATAGTTACAATTTTTAGAGAACCCCCCTGAAAACATGCTAGCATCATCAAAGATGAAACCCCAAGATAAGTTTTCAACTAAGCAACTAATGATCCATCAGAGTTCCATTTCAGATATTCAACATAAAAGCAAATGCATGATAATACAAACCAAGACGGGTATATAAACATACCGTTAAATTGCGTGAGTCGCACACCTCAAAAATGTTTGTGAACTCTTCCTCTGCTAGCCACGAACAATCCCTAATACGTATCTCCATAGGTGATCCGCGGACAAGAAGAGCCAAAAAATGAGCATTCATTCTCCGAGAATCACAGAGCAATTGGCATAGCCTATGCCTCAAAGTATCTGGGACATGTTCAAGCGAAGCAATTGCATCGGCATTCTTCACTAGAATTTTCATGCATAATTCTTGCAGAGAAGGAACCGATCCTTTTGAACGCTTACACGCCCGATCAGTTTTTGGCATCCAAGTTATTGGCACAGGTTTTTCCTTCTCTGAAGTGGAGCCCCTCTGTTGCAAGTTAAGCCTATTTGCTCTATCCCTGATAATCTTCATAGCAGTAGAGAAAGGACCAGGCCAGTCTTCAACTTTGTCCTGCTCTTCTTCCACAGATGGCATTTCTACGTCATGATGGTCTGTCTCATGCTCCTGAACTTCAAAATGAGCAAATCGAGAAGCATTTTGCCTTGCTATATCACGAAATTTCTCCATTCTTGATTCAGGCACTTTACTTCTCGTACTCGCACCCTCCTTTCTCTCTTCCAGAACCACACTCTCTGCCAAACCATCAACCAGATTCTTAACTCTGGGTTCTAATTGCAACATATCCTTTCCATTTGATATCAAACCATCATCAACAACCAATTTCCCCTTCCCTTTCTCTTCTCTGCTATACCTCATCCTTCCCCTTGAACTTCCACCCTCAAGAGCAACTGGTTTTTCCCCTAATTCCTCAATAACAACAGCACCCTCTTTACTTCTCTTCTCTTTTCCCTCTCTACCATACCTCCTCCCTCTCCTTGAAGAGCCATTCTCATCTGTACATGGGTTTTCCTTCAACCCCTCGACAACGCCCTCTTTAACTGCCCCCACTTTCACTTCTCTGTTATATTTCCTCCTTCCTCTAGTTGAAGTCCCACTCACATCGGCACTAGGGCTTTTCCCCAGGTCCTCCACAGCAACACCACCCTCTTCACCTCTCTCCATTTTTACTTCCCCTGTACATTTCCTCTTTCCCCTTGACGAATCACTCAACTTCTCCTCCAAATTGTCGCTTCTCTCGACCGCGTTATCATTAAAAATTTCCACAAACTCCTCTTGAACATCCAAATTTAACACTTTCTTACCCAAATTACCCCTTCCCCTTCCCTTCCCCTTCCCTTTTGTACGCATAACACTCGAACCCTTGACCTCTTCACCTTCAATTTCAATATTACGATTATCAACAACCTTTTTCCCAGACCTCAAACTTAAAACCCTCAATACTTCACCTCCAACATCTCGTTCGGTCATTTTCTCAACCACATCACCTTCACTAACAAGCCGACCTTGTTTACCATCACTCCCCTTCTTCCTCTCGCGGGTTGGAGTTTGGAGGGAGGCATCGGCAGAAGAAAGTGACTTCGAAGCGAGACGGAGGCTCCGCCTGCGTGGAGGGGCAGAGTCAGAGCCCAGAAGGGAAACACCGGGGGGGTTGGGGGTGGGAGGGGATTGGTGAGTGGAAGGTTCGCGAGTTCGAGAGGGAGTGACAGGTTCGGATGTGGTCCCTTTGTTGTTTGAGGGTACAGTTGGGAGTATTCCGCTGGACCTGAGCACAGCCATGGAATGGAATGGTGGGTGAAGAGAGAGAGATGGAAGATGATGGAGCGGAAAGGAACTGGTTACAAAATCAATATAAGAACGCCAATGGGTGCCGCTCTTTTTTCTATTTTTAGGGTTTTGGACCCAAACTTCCCCTGGAAGCCGCTTGTGTTTCCCGCCAAATTCTTTTTTTTTTTAATTACAGTTATTTAGCACTCCCATTTATTTAGTTAAGGGATATCGTGGCATCCTTTCAATGGGGGGTTGTTAATGGAAAATTAAAAACTGGGCATTAAATTTAATTCAGTCCCATGTATTTTGAGCATTTGTTTTCTATGTGATGTGTATTATACATTATTATTAACTAATATTTTAAAATACGTGGGAAAGTATTATAGCTTTTCCCACGTTATTTTTTTTTTATTTTAATTTGTATTTTGTCTTTTTTTTTCCTATATCTTTTTTTTTAGGTTTTACATGTTTTTTTTTTCTAAAATTATCTTTTTTATATATATTTTAAAAAAAATTATCTTTATTAATTTTTTTAATATTTAACTGATTAAAAATTTAGTTCTATAATTTAAAAAAAAAACATTATGGATCACTTTAATATTTCCATGCATGACTTTTTTTATGAAGTTTTTTTGAATAGTTTTTGTCGATTTTATTTTTTTTATATAAAGGTGGTCGAGAATTTTATTTCGTAGTTTTTTTCTTTGAAACACTATAGATTATTACAATATTTTCCTACATGATTTTTGTTGTGTTTCTCCACATGTTTTTTTCATAGCTATCGTTGTCAATTTTTTTAAATATTGAGTTAATTGAGAATCCAGCCTTAACTTTTCCCTTATTTTTTTATTTTTTTATAAAATTATTTTTGTTAATTTTATTTTTTTAATATAAAGCTGGTTGAGAATTTAGCTTTATAGTTTTTTATTTAAAACACTGCGGATTGCTACAGTGTTTCCTCACATGATTTTTTTTTTCTTTTATGATTTTTTTTTTTTTTTTTATAATTTTCTTTGTTGGTTTTATTTTTTTCATGTTAAGCTGGTTGAGGTTTTAGCTTCATAGTTTTTTTTTTTAAAACACTATGAATTAATATCTTCATAGTTTTTTTCTTTAAAACACTATGAATTGATACAGTGTTTTTCTCCGTGATTTTTTTATAATTTTTTAAAATTATCTTTATTGATTTTATTATTTTTAATATTAAGCTGGTTGAGAATTACAACTTTATATTTCCTTATGAAACATTACAGATTGTTATAGTGTTTCGCTGTATAATTTTTTTCCTTTTATTTTTTTATGATTATTTTCAAAATTTTCTTTGTTAATTTTATTTTTTAATATTAAACTGATTAAAAATTTAACTTTATAGTTTTTTTCTTAAAAACATTATATATTACAATAGTTTTTCTCCATATAATTTTTTATTTTATTTTTTCTATAAATTTATAACGTCTAATAATGTCATAAGCCCGTAGCATCGGGATGACATCTAGTGAGTTTCTATAACAGGATTGAACAAGAAAATAACAGCATAGTGAAATTTTCAAAGCTATTAAAAACAAACGGCTAGCCAAAAACATAACCACTACTCCGAGACCAATCCTGAGCCATAATTATAGGCATAGGTAGTGCCAAACTTCTGAGAAAAAGAACCGAGTGTGCAACCACACACCCACATACAATAACCCGTAGACACATAAGATTAAATGATGAGTACTCCATAGGCATAATGTTGAATTTTTTAAACATATGAATACCTTTGAAAGCATCTAGAGATTCATTTACTGCAAACTGAATTTCTAATGATGGAGGAGACATACTTCCTTGAACATATATTCCTCCTATGCGAAGATGAGGAGCAAGACAAAATTGCCCAAGGGCT